AAGTGATAAGCCACATCTAGTTTGCCATAGGATTTATTTTGCTTTCACCATTCCTATCAAATTCATCTTTTGAAAAGGCGTTAACAATTATGAGTTTTTTGGTTTTTTTTTCACTTAGTGACACCTTGAGAAAGGAATTTGACTCCTTCAGTGTGGCAGATAAGGGACAAAAAGCCCTTTCAGAAATAAAAGATAGAATATAGTTCAATAAGAGAGATATTCAACAAGAGAGATGGCACCTGAACTGAAGATCAGATTTATAGAGCAAAGCAGGTGAGCCCGTGTCCCTTGGAAGCACAAATGAGCAGATATTTAATTATAATAAAGGTTCCCATTAGGAGAATACCCAGGGCGCTTACAGCCCTCTGGTGGAAGGTAGGTCGGGGATGGCGAGGCACAAACTGCAGTGTGTTGGGACAAGAACTTCAGATCTGTGGCAGTGGAGTCTCACAGGGGCTAGCTGGAAAAGCTCCCATGCATCTTGTGGGGATCTAAATAATAAAATAACTAGTAAGTATCTAAACACTAGGCAAGGAGACAATGCGGGGGAGAGGGGGTAAAATCAGTTGACAACCTGTTTGCTAGTATTGTCTCTGTGTGTGTGTGCAGGAGCCTCCAAAGGAAGAGGCGTAGGTCCTTGGGGAGTGTCAAGAATGCAGAAAGCACGAGCTCGTGAGCCTTGGTTGTTGGTTGCCAGGTCTTGCGCAGCCCTTTGGGATGACAGAATCATTATCGGCACTGCCAGAAAAGGCAACCACTGTCAATATTGTGGGGTTGCTAGGTGAGCCGAAGATAGCTCGAGTCCCCCATCTTTGTGAAGAAGTCTCGACCCAGGAAAGGCATTGCACACTCAGGCATTACCAAGAAGGCATAGATAAGGAGAAAATTAGGCCATAGCACAAAGGAAGAGTAGAGCATTTGCTCACAAGCGTTGGCCCTTTTGGTGCACATAATCCAAGAAGAGTTGGGAGCTGTTGTCTGGAATAGAAGGTAATGGCAGAGTAAGAGGCCCCACCAGCAAGGAGGACATCGATGGCCCCACCTGCAGCGTCCACTGTTGCCCAAGGCGCCCTCCCGCTGAGGGTGATGTCAGGCTGGAGGGTGGCCGGAACCTCAGGCTTCCTTATTCCAGGGACAACAGTTGGGGACCTGGACCAGGGTCCTTTGATCCTCAGGACAGTAAGCTCCCCCAGGGTCCCATCTTGCTACAGGTAGACCAAGGTGACTTGCTCTTCCAGTGAACCACCTGCCTGCCTGATTGACACATCCCAGTTAGCTTACTTTCCTTGAGAGAGAAGCCAGTGGTCACCGCCATGCAGCAAGGAGCTCCATAGATGTTTTGTCCTTTTATTCTCATTGAGTCCTCAGGCCCTTTTTCTCCCTCTTAATACTTGGTTATAAAAAAAAAAGAGAGAGAGAGAGAGCGAGAACAAGAATTAGCAGCATTTAGAAGGTCATTGTTGGGAGTTTTGGATCCCAAAGATATTTTTTGTAATTTCCTAATGTCTGAAGCTGACTGGGTAAGGAGTGCGGTGTTAGAAGGCATCCTTATTATTTCTCAGAATTGTCGCAGAAGCCCGCCAAATCCTGTTTGATTTGCTTTTGGTCCTGCAGAGAGAGAGGTTGTCGGGCTGTAGAACCTCGGAACACACCGATATTTCTGAGGACCTAGTTAGGGGAACACTGACTTGGTTAATCTCTGGTGACTCTGTAGCTCTGAAATCCTGAGACTGGACATGAGAGTACTGTTTCTGCCTTCAGAGAGTTTTACTTTCTGTGTGTGTGTTTGATGTAAATCCATTTTGGTGTGGCCTGATCGTTCACTTGATTCTGTGGGCGCCTGGTGTGGAGTAGGCTGGAGGGGTCCTAGCCAGCTTCCAGCCCAGGATTTACTGTTTCCCAATGGGGATACACAGGTGTGACCAGGGACTTGTCTAAGGTAATACGAACGTAACAATAGAGCCAGGACCACATGCCAGGCTCCAGGCTCAGCATCTTTCCCTTACGCTGCAGCCCAGGGCCTTGCCGGGGTGGAGGGTAGGGGGTCAGAGACACTAACTAGTCTATGACCACCTCAGCCAATAGGTGTCCCTCTTCCTTTGTCACCCATGCTGTCCCTCCGCCTTTCAAGAGCGAGTGAGAAGGTGGGCAGCCGGGTGGCCCTCACTTCTTAGGGTCATCTATCCTGAGGAGCAGGCCCCAGCCAACTCCAGCCACCACGGATCTGCTTGTCCTTGTCCCTTTCCAGAGCAAGGAGCCTCTGAGAGCAGGAACTGTGTGGTCCCCATCACTGTGGATTCCTGGGGTCTGGCCCACATTTTGAAGATTGGGCAGGGCTTCCGAAGGAAGGGCATGCGCCAGAGGGGCAAAGGGGACTGGTAAAGATACATCCTGGGAAGGATTATTGATATTTGGCTAAGTACAGCTTGCTTTAGTGTGTAGTGGCGCAATAACATGGATGAGTGTGTTGGGGACAAGATATATCAGGTGGCTTCAGTGCTCAGTATGCTTTGAGCAGAAATTCCACTTCTGAGATTTATCCCAAGAGCCTCATTCACATAAGTCTATGAGGACATTCAATTACAGCACTGATTTTTTTTTTGGGGGGGGGATTTCTTTTCTTTCTTTTTTTTTTTTTTTTTCTTAGTGGTACTGAAGATTGATCCCAAAGCTTCACACATGCCAAGCAAGCATCTGGCACCAAGCTACCTCCTCATCCTATTCTCCTCTCCTCTCCTCTCTTCTGTTGTCCTCTCTTCCCTTTTCTTTTACTTCATAGACAGAATCTCACTAAGTCATTTTTCAGGGCTAGCCTCAAATTTATGAACCTCCTGGCTCAGCCTCCCAAGTAGCTGAGATATCGGGTGTGCACCACCCGATACGCACACAGAAAGTAAAGCTCTCTGAAGGCAGAAACAGTACCCTCCTGTCCTACTGCAGGATTTCAGAGCTAAAGGGTCACCGGAGATTAACCGAGCCAGGGTTCCCCTAACTAGGTCCTCAGAGGTATCAGTGTTTTCCAAGGTTCGACAGCCTGGCAACCATCTCTCTTTCTGCAGGACCTAAATAGCCATAGCCTTATTTTCAATAAAGGAAACAAGGGTGGAGGGTATAGCTCAGTGGCATAAGCACCTCTGCCTGGCAAGCACAGGATCCCTACTTCAATCCCCAGTACCCCAAGAATAAATAAGAAGCAGTCTAAATATTAAATAATAGCAGTACAGTGACAAATCTGTAGCTCACCAAAAATGAGTTATTTGGGACTTTTAAAATGATTAAATTTCTTTGACAGAGAAATTTGTAATATGTTGAGTAAAAAGAGAGAGAGAGAGAGAGAGAGAGAGAGAGAGAGAGAGAGAGAGAGAGAGAGAGAGAGAGAAAGAGAAACAGGCCACTCCATTCTTTACCGTTATCTGTGCCAGCAGGATTTATTTATTTATTTATTAAATTTTATTTATTTATTTGTGTGTGTGTGGTCAGCCCACTGGGGGCAAGGCTGGCTGGCATGTGGTGCTGGGGGATTGAACCGCGGTCCCTGTGCTTTGCTAAGCTTGTTCTAAGTAGGTGCTTTAGACCACTGAGCCATCTCACCAGCCCACCAGCAGGATTTATAATCTTATGTTTCTAAAGTAAATTAACATTTCCACTGATACCTACATTTATGGGCAGAAAAACATTTATAGGAATAAGAACTAAAATGTTTATAGAAATCTGTGGGTTAAAGAACAACAGGTGAGGGCCAGTGGTATAGCTCAGTGGACTAAGCACTTGCTTAGGTAAGCACAGGGCCAGGGTTCCATCCCTGGTTCCGCATGCTGCGCCGGCCCCACCTCCGGGTGCGCTGAGCCGGTGATGGAGTCCAGGCATGGTGGCACATACCTGTAATCCCAGCACTTGGGAGGCAGAAATCAGGAGGATTACTACTAATGTGGACTGTGTAGTGAAACCCTGCACAACAACAACAACAACAACAACAAAAAACAGGTAGCTTTTCTATTGTGTTATTATTTTTTGTGTATTTTTTTCCTCATTGCTCTACAATGAATACATGCATGGTAGTGGTAGTTAGTTTGAAAAAAAAAAATACTATGTCAGAGCTGGAGAGATAGCTTGGTGGTCTAAGTGCCTGCCTAGGCAAGCACAAGGACCCAGATTCAATCCCCAGTACCACATGCTATGCTGGCCCAGAAACTGGATGTGGTGGCTCACACCTGTAATCCCAGTGCTGGGGAGGCTGAGACAGGAGGATCACTATGAGTCTGAGCTGCCTAGGAAGACCCTGTACCAAATTTTAAAAAAGATTTAAAAACATTTTTAAATACCATACTAAGTGCCCCACCACCACCACACACTGAGATGGCAATGAAGACTGGGCGTGGTGGCGCATGCCTGTAAGCCCAGCTCTTGGGAGGCTGTAAACAGGCGGATCACTACAAGTCCATCTAGTAGTGAGACCCTGATCACCCTGTAGACCCTTCCCTAAAATACTAAATAAATAAATAAAATACCATGCCAAAGGATTACCCATAAAGTGATGTCAATTAACTTTTTATAAAGTAAATAACTGAAGGCACACTAAGCAAGTCACCGAGCTGCACTGAGCTTCCCCGGGACGTGCTCATCTGTTAGGACAGCGCAAAGGAGAAGCGACAACCCACACTGCTGTCACAGGTTCTGATTCCTGAGTGTTGCATTCCCGTGTGAGGGGATAGCAGATGGATCAGCCCCGGCTGTGGAGGAGCGAGTGTCTTTAGGCCTTGGCAGGTCGTGATGTCCACAGATACCTGAAAACGACATTTTTGGGAAGCACCCAGTTCAGGGGGCATTTTATAACTCAGCAAGGTGGCCATGGGAGGTCCAATCCCTGTAGCTCCTCTAGGGACGGGAATGATGAGCGTCGTTCTGGTTTCGAGAGCAACAGCACACAGTGGGGTGTCAGCTGCGACCTGGGGGCCCCCAGCCTGCGTGTGGCTCATGGCTGCTCTGACTTTTCCCTCTAGGAAAACCTGATTGGCGCCCTCTTGGCGATTTTTGGGCACCTCGTGGTCAGCATCGCGCTTAACCTGCAGGTAAGTCGATCACCAGCACCGTCTGGCAGGTGGGTTGGGTGTCTTGTCTAAGTCCAGCTGTGCCCTCCTTGTGCTGTGGAGGGGTGCGCCTGGGTCTCTGCCTTCTGGGCTATTCCTGAGTCTCTGGACTCTGCTCCCCCATCCCACTCCCACCCCCCACCAGGCCAGCCTCCTGCTCCTCCCCTCCTCTCCTCCCCTCTCCCCCTCCCGCTGGCTGTGCGGTGATTCCTGTGGGCCTCTCAGCCTCTCCTGTTCGCCAGGCTGCTGAGCTGTCCTGGTGTTCGCACTGCCCCTTGCTTAGATGCATCCAGGTTGCAGCTACTAAACACAGCCCCTGGGTCCAGCTGTGTGCAGACAGCTGTGGTTTGGGACACGCTGGCAGCTGGAGGAGCTCCTCTGGGGGGCACGAGAAACTGGCTTTCTGTCTGCAGGTGCGTCTTGGAGGCAGGAAGTGCTAATGCCCCTGGAGGCAGCCAGCCTGTGGGGATGAGAGCCCTGAGTTCCCAAGCCCAGGGGATTAATTTGCTCATGAATGCGGCTTTCATTGGTTCCTTTCCATTCTGCCCTTCCCTCCCCCTCCTTCCCCTTCCCCCTCCTAACTCCCTTCCCCCTCCTAACTCCCTCCCCCCCAACTCCCTCCCCCTAGGCCCCTCCCCCTCCCATCTCCCTCCCCCTCAGCCCCTCCTCCTCCCTCCTCTCTCCTTCCCCCCCTTACTTGTACTTCCTGGAAGCCTTTCCCACAGAAACCCCATGCTCCCATGTTCTCGTCTCAAGGGCAGCTTCTCAGAAGCCCAAATTGAGACTTGACACCCACTAGCTGGATAAATCCCACAGCACACCGGCTGGAGCTGCCCCGCCTGGTTGGAGCAGCAGGAGACCCGTGCCCTGTGGATGCACACATGTGTTGCGTGTTTTTGTACATGTGTGCCTTGCGCATCTCACTGCTGTGCGTGTGCATGTGTGCATATGAACGTCTCTGTATGTTTTTCTGGAAAATGTGGTCCCTGGGCTACCCCCCTAGGGAGCTGCCGGCCACCTCCAGGAGGGAGCAAGGCTGAGCAGCCATCCCACGCGTGCAGACTCCTGGGACCTGCAGCCTGAGGGAGAAGCCACCTGGGAGCTGGCCCAAGTGGGGCTTCCCAGACTGTGGTCCCCACGTGGACCATGCCTGCCTGTGACAGGCATTAGAAATGCCCATTTCCAGGCTCTGTCCACACCTCGGCAGAGCCCAGCTGAGGTTCAAGCCCAGGTGTGTAGTGTTGCATATCTCCCCAGGGAAGTGTTCACGCTTCTTAGGCAGCTGGAGAACAACTTGTCTTGGAATAACAGCCAGCTGGTTTTGGATGGTCCCTGTTTCCTTCTTCTCTGAAGGACTCCAGAGACGACGAGGCGGGGCTAGCTGTATTCATGTTGAAAGCAGGTGTAGATGGGTGGGGGGACGTGCTTCACGGTGTTTTTTTTTCCCTCCAAATATCTGGGCAAACCGCATTCCTGCTTGGATTTGCAGAAGTACTGCCACATCCGCCTGGCAGGCGCCAAGGACACCCGGGCCTATTTCAAGACCAAGACATGGTGGCTGGGCCTGTTCCTCATGCTGCTGGGTGAGCTGGGTGTCTTCGCCTCCTACGCCTTCGCCCCGCTCTCGCTGATTGTGCCGCTCAGCGCGGTCTCGGTGATAGGTAAGCCTGGGCCCCAGCCTCGCCCTGGACACATTGTGTGCATGCCCTGAGTGTCGCCACGGGATGAAAGGCACTCGGGAGGCGTACCCCTTTTGCTTCAGGAATAATACCTAACCCTACAAAGGACTTTAAACACACCAGTGCTCTTCTAACACTCCCAGCAGGGTTTCCAGGGAGGTACTCTTCTTCTGCCCATTTTACAGATGAGGACACTGAGGCACGAAGTGGTGAAGTGACTTCCCCTAAATTTTACTGGGAGTGAGTAGCAGGGCTGAGATGTAAACTGGGTTCCCTGGCCCCAGAACCTGTTTTAAGATTCAGGAAGTTTATTTGGAATTGTTTTTATTGCTATATCAGAAGGAAAAATAACCTTCTTGACACCATAAGATGAGCTAAGTATTCAGAGGGTTCTAATTTTCGTGTGCCTCCGAAAGACACGTGTTCAGTTCTTTCTCTGATTTATTTACATCCACTGATACTATTTCCGTAACGTTCCCTTTCTCACCTGCTGTTTTTCTATGATTTCTAACCACTACTGAATGAGTGTTTCAGAGCATAGGAACCAAGCAAACTGCAAAGCAGCTTTAATGTCCAGGATGTTATAGAACAAACAGGATTTGAGAAAATTCTTGGGCGTGGTGGTTTATGCCTGTAATTCCAGCACTCAGGAGGCTGAGGCAGGAGGATCACTGCAAGGTTGAGGCCAACCTCATCTACATAGTGACTTCGAGGCCAGCCTGAACTACATAGTGAGACCCTGTTTCATAAAGGGGGTGTGGGCAGGGATATGGCTCAGGGGCATAAGCCTGGTAAGCACAAGGTACTGAGTTCAATTCCTGGCACCAAAAAGAAAAAAAAGAATTTGAAAGTTCTGCAGTTAATAAACAATAGCTTTCTGTTCCCAGGAGCTGGCACAGTGAACTTGCTCTGAAAGGTTGCCTTCCATTTTGCCAGCAAGCGTAACCTGTCTAGTCCTTCCCTGCCCTTGAGGGAGAGTGGTGTGCAGGAGTCTGACTCCTGCTTGCATTCAGAAGGCCTCTCCCTGTGCAGCAAGGCCTGGCAGGACACAGCCCTGGGAACTGGCGCCTGCTCTGCGGCTGAGCTTTCCTCCTGAGCCAGCCTGGAGGGGCCTGAAAATCCTCAGCGCTTCAGGCAGCCCTGGCCGTCAGCAGGCGTTGGCAAAGGGGGCAAATCGATTTGCTTTCTCTAACCCTGTTACGAGACCCTCCTCTTCCTTTGGCCTAGTGTTGGTAAACAAAAGCCTAACAGGCACCTGGGTCTTCACTATGCTGTGCTCTCCCCCAGCATCTATCTATCTATCTATCTATCTATCTATCTATCTATCTATCTAGATATCTAGATATCTAGATATCTATCTATCTTCCTTTCTTCCGCGGAACCGGGGATTGAACTCAGGCCCTTGGGCTTGCCAGGAAAGCACTTATTCTATTGAGCTATCTTCCTGGCTCTCCCCCGGCATCTTGAAAGTGTACTTTGTACGCACCTCAGGAAGCCCAGCCACTTGGCTTCGGTCCCACCATCGGCTGGGGTCTTTGGCCCATTTTCTGCATTCATGCTAATGCCCAGCCATGAGAGAGAGAGTCATAGTATAAGAACTCCAAAGAAGAAATACAAATAGAAAGATATAATACAAGGAAAGGGAAAGCAGGATCTCAAGGACTAACTAATCAAGAGAGGG